TCTCTAAAGTCTTCCAAGGTGTTTTGGTGATTTGTGATTCCACTTGAGGCTTCCACACTATTGGGGCTAAGCTCTTAAAGCTTGAAGACATCAAGCTACATCAAAATGTATGTCATCTAACTAGAACTTTGTAGTATAAGAACTTCATAATATGCTAGTTAGGATTAAAGCCTTGGAAAATTCTTATTTGCATGTATAATAGAGAAAACATAGATCCAAGGTTTATAGGGTTGCCTGTACACCATAGGAGTGTTAGAATGCTCAAAACCCAACAATTATATGTGTTTATATATTGTGATTATCTAAATTAACAAGTTAAATAGTTAAATGTGTATAAAAAAAAATTCTAAATATAAACAAAAGGAAAAGTTAATTATTCTGATAAGTCATTTTCCCTACTTTTAATAGCGATTTATTTTTCATATTTGTTTGTATTATTTTTTTTCAAACGTTATTTTTAAAATATCCATAATTTCCTAAATATTGATTAGTTTTAAATTTTACTTTTTAATTAATTAATATGTTTTTACTTTGTAAAATATTTTATATAGCCTCTTATAATTTTTTTCTTTTGTTTTTAAGTATATACAATATTTTTAAAGTAAATAGTATTTAACAATAAAATTAAATATGTTACAATAAGTATGGAGGATTTTTTAAAAAAATAAAAGAAAATATTACTTAGCAAATAAAAAAACAAAAAAAGTCTATATAATGTAAATGTTTTAAAATTATTCCAACTTGTAATAATTTTTTAATTAGAAGTTTATAAAATTTTAGTTTTTTTAATACAACATTTTAAACTAGTATATAACGAAAATATTTGAAAATGTAATAAAAAATATATTAAATTTTCATATATAAAATCTGTGAAACACTTTAAAAATATTGTAAAAGAAAGTTTAGAAATAAATGTATGAAAGTTATAAAAAAAATTATATGAAAATGTAAAAAAAAAAGTTAAAAATTATAAGAAAATTTTAAAACATTTATAAAATATTTGGTTTAAAAACACTTGTATCAAAATTATATGAAAGTATAAAAAAAAAGTTTAAAAAAATTATAAGCAAAGTTTAAAACACTGTATTAGAAAAACCTATAAGAAAAAATATCATAAAAATATCATAAGAATGTCTTTGAGTTTGAGGTAACATTTTTAGTTATATTTTCACCTCTAAAGGTCCAAGATATTTGTAGTTCCTCAAACTCCAAAACATTTGTAGTTCCTCAAACTCCAAAACATCCAAGAAATTATAAAAATATCATAAGAATGTCATATTAAGTTTTAGAGTTCCTCAAACTCCAAAACATCCAAGAATGGGACCAAAACCAACCAATAATGACCAACAACATGGGTATCAAAGGAAAAAGGTCAAGGTGCAATATTTTTACCTCTAAAGGTCCATAAACTTGAAGAAGATGGTGGATCTAGTCTTGCTCTATGCTTCTTTGTGCCAAGAAGGAGTTACTTGCTTCACAAGCCTCACCAGATTAAGAAGAACAACCTTGAAACCAAGTAAACAAGATCTTAATATTCCATGGAGTCTAGGGTTTCGTAATGGAGAGGTGCAGGCTAGAGGATATGCCCTAAACCAAGAGTTAGAGCCTTTAAATATGAATGGAACCCTACAAATTATGAGCTTGGGTTGCAACAGCTGCTACGTCGTGGCCATCTATTTGCCACGTCGTGGTAACCAAGCCATATGTGATCCTTATTAAGTTGTTATGTAGAAGCCTGAATAATTTTTAGAAAGTAAATTAACCCATAAATGTCTATGAGGTTAAACAGAAGCCTGTATAAATTTTAGAGTAAATTACTGAAATGGTCCCTATGGTTTGGTCAAAATTACATGTTTGGTCCCTAACTTTTTTTTTTGCACTTGGATCGTCCCTGTGGTTTGATTTTGTTGCGTTTTTCGTCCCTTACATACATAAAGTTAAGGACCAAACGTGCAATTTTGACCAAACCATAGGGACGAAAAACACAACAAAATCAAACCATAGGGACGATCTGAGTGCAAAAAAAAAAGTTAGGGACCAAACGTGTAATTTTGACCAAACCATAGGGACAATTTCAGTAATTTACTCTAAATTTTATAGTAAAAGACGATCAATTCAAACGATATACAGTTTTATTATACAATATAATATTCACTAAAATATGATCGGTTGTACTTAACAACATATAACTAAACTATTTTAAAAATACAAGACTTGAATAACCTATTCAAAACCTACATTTTGTGTGTTAAGAACAACCTTTTTATAAAACATAATATATGACCAACATTTGTAACAATTATGCAGTCTTATCATTAGGTATGTCAACACTTGCAACAATGTTGGCAAATTGTCTTTGTGTTGTTGACTTCCCTATGTTACTCGGTTTGACTTTGACTTGAGCTTCTATTGGTTGATTGGTTAAACTTTCTGATCTCACGTTTATCGTTTCCTCTGTCCTTTTAATATTTTTATACCAAGTCTTGAGAATTTTTTATGTGTGATCATCGAAAATAGACTTCTTCATCATTAAACCCATCTGAATTTTCCACATTAAAGATACTTTACTTATATGGTTAATCAAATAAATATCAATGTAATTTCATTTATTTTCTTATTACAACAGTTATATTTTGAAAATCTACCCGGTTATAACAATGTCATACAATGTCTATTTCTATAATTTGGTAGATTTTTCAAAGTGTAATGTCTTGATTTTTGTAAGCAAAATGTTATAATTAAATAGATTTTTCTAATTACAATGTCTTGATAAGAACAGGTACATTGCAACAAAAAGAAATGAAATATGTTGCTATTTCGTTCATCTAATATTTAACCTTGAACTTGTATCATGTCTAAAATAAGAGGTACTTAGGATTTAATGTTGGTAATCCCGTAAATCATATGAATGCGGTGGCCATAGAAGAAGATATAATTGTGAAGAAAAAAAAATGGAAAATATGGTTGACAGATGAGAATGTCGAGAAGAAGAAGCACGGTTGACTAGGGTTAGGAGAAATTAGCTTGATACCATGTTGATTGTATATTTCCCATAATAGACATATAGCCTTTCCAACAATATATGTACACAAAGATACGAAATGGACTACCAATAATTACATGTGCTAATGTTCTAACAAGGCTAAATAATAAAGTGGGCTAATAACGAACAATATAAACAATACAACAATTACATATGGGGGTGTTTGGGATTGCTTATTTAAGCTTCTTATTTGCTTATACCGTTTTGGTACCGGTAATAAGCAAATTTTAGTGTTTGGATAGGTACAAATTATAAGCACTTATTTGATCAAATAAGAAGTTTTTAATAAGTTGGTTTCTCCTTAGTTATTTGAAACTCATTATTAAGATTTAATACCTAATTACTCATTTACCCCTAATTTACCTTAAAATACTCCTTGTACATCGACGACTTTTTATTTTTTCGTGACTTTCTTCATTCACGAACATCACAGACAATGTTCCCCTCCTTTTCTTCAAATTTATGTTTGTAATTCTCACCTTGTGCTACAGTAATGTAAAAAATTAATATTATATTGATTCTTGATTATTGGATAAATTATTGCTTGGTTAGTATTTATAATATATTGATTCCTCTCATGTAATATACATGCATTCCTCTTACAGTGAGCTATCAAACCACCTGCATCTCAAAACATTGATTACATATAAACCCTTTTGATAAAATCATAACACCTTTAACCCATTAATAATAATAATAATAACATCTAATTTAAACAGAGCATGGAGTACATGTTTTAGTTTACTTGAAAACTGAGCGTTTCTAAAAATTTCATAGAATTGTTTTCTTTAAAAAATCATAAACATATCAACAACAATCAGCCGATCAAACTGTAATTTCACACATACAGTCGGTTATCCATAGTCTAAAGGAAAGCCAGAAGATTGGGAGGAGTAAAATACATTGTAATATGTTACATGTCCTTTTCGATCATTTTATACAAATAAGCAGAAACTGCGATACACTAAAAAACAACTTATCAACTTATCAGTCAATAAGCACTTTTACAAAAAAGCATAGGTTGTTTTATATAAGCAAATCCCAAACACCCCCATAATACGTCTAACAGTAACTAAAACAAGTTTCATTCGGGTTTTCGTTTTAGTTAGATATGGAAAAAATGGATTATGTAAACTTGTAATGTGCTTAATAATGTTTTTACTTGGCATCATGATTTTTCTTAATAATCAAATGATATATGCAGTGAAAATTATATAAACAATTATACCTCCTGAAGCTTCCGAGTAGTAGTGGTTGTTGCATGCTAGTTAAACCAGCATTCAGGACTATGTTTGGCTGTTTGCCTGAGCTTGTTTCCACATACTTGAGCTGTGGAGCTGTCGACCCACCAGCTGTGAAGACCTTCATCTCTGGGCAATCCTTAATCACAAGATCGTCCAATGAAGGCCACTGGAACTCATGATTCGTCCCTAAAAAGAAACCCACCAGCTCTGGTAAATCAACTAGTTCAATAAGCTTTAAAAGAGGAAAAACCACAGCCTTAGAAAAAGATGCATTTGTTTTTTGCTCTCCATTATCTTCCTCCTTCACCACAATCACTTTCATTGCCTTGCAATTCTTTATCATTAACTCTTCAAGTTGCTCGAGGCTTTCAAGTGTGGAAAATGTGAATATATGTTCCAAAAGGTCACAGCTATAGATTTCCAATCTCTTGAGGTTTCTCAGTTCAAGCATAGTAACACTTTTGTTGATCCATTGAGTTTCAAACACCTCCTTCATCCCATCGCATGACTTTATTTTCAGCACTTGAAGCTTTTTCATTTGTCCTGCTACATACCATGGAATCACACTTGACAATGCATTGCAATTATTTATGCTTATCTCTCTAGGATATTGGCATAAGCTCCAAGAAACACTGTCCACTTCAGAAAACTGCAGTAAATGACAAAAAGTTAATGTAAATTATTGTTTGATTATTAACAAAGTTTAATTGTTTGTTCCCCACCCATACACTAGTTTATAAAAGTAATTTAATTAAACATTTGGTTCTTTGTAATGAATTGACTCAGTGCCCATGACGTTGAAACATAAAAGTTGTAGGGCTAAAATTTTGGAATGCAAGATTAGCCAGGTTAAGAGAGCATATGTTAAGATCAAGATTAACCAGGTTAAATACACTAGAAGTTTATATTTTCTACTAGAAATGAGGAACGACCTGGCCAATGATTTTGTAATACTTTGGTTAATGATGAGATGTTTTCTTATAAGATATATAATGGCAGGGGTAATATATATATATATATATATATATATATATATATATATATATATTATATATATATATATATATATATATATCATTAGTTGTTGAATATCAAGCATAAATTAAAACAAAACTAATGTTAGCCATAAATTAATTTGAAGAAATTTATTGACATGCTGTGTTACATAATAGAAATATGAGTTTCATATTGTAGGAAATACATATACACATAAATGAATAACTCGGAATCCAATTACAAGCTGTAAAAATTTCATTCTCTTGCAATTTTTATGCATTCTAATCTCATCATTGGATTTGTATAGCAACTAACTTTTTCAATATCTTGTAAGTGATTGGTTGAATTTTCTAGAATATGACTAGTAATTGGAGAATATTTCCAAAGAAATAAGGATTTGTAAAAGGAAGTTGAATACGTAGCTGAATATGTTGAAAACATACCTTAGAATTATCAAGAAAGGAGGTAGTGGTAGTAGTACTGTTGGAAGATATTTTATTGTTCCCAGCCTTGGCCTCACCACCGCCAATACACTTGAGATTTTGCAGGCTTTTTAAAGTGAGAGAATCAAGAAGAGGGAACAGAGCGGTGCTTGAAGTTATTTTTTCTTCTTCTTCGTCATCGTCTCTGTTAGAAACAACTTCTTGCATACCATCACACCATTTTATCTTGACTTTCTTTAGGTTGGAAAGAAGTTTTGCCATGAGAGGTGAAAACAAATACTTGATACTATGACAATTTCTCATTTCTATGGTTGTGAGGTTGTGGAATGGGGATTCTGACTGTTTTCTGTGAAGAAGTAGGAACTCGTTCCAGTTGCACTTCCACACGTGACTCAGCCTCTCCAAATCATTTATATACAAATTCTCAAGGTAGGGAAGTATTTGGTGTTGATTATCCTGATTTCTAGGAGTACTCTTGATCTCAAATATCACCTCCACTCCTTTATATTTCACCAATTCAAGTTTACCGAGGTTATGAATCGAATGTATGAGATAGGCTGGGAACAGAGTATTCTGCACATATATCACAACAAGAAATGTATTAGTAACTGTAACAGTTAAGCTAAAGTCGAATTACCTCAACCATTTGTAACTGCATATCCCTTCACAAGTCCTTTTCTTAAAAAAATTATATTTGAGAAGGATTATTTTGATTTTAAGTATTCTTTCAAGAAATATTTGGAAACTATGGAAATAGTCAACAATGTTAAGAACATTCCTACCTTTGTCCTTAAAATAGTGAACTTTTTGTTATTTGAATAATAAATCATGAAAAGCAGCATTAGTTCCTACCCACAAATTATTTTTGGGAATCTATTAAAGAAAATGTGAAATATTTTAAAAAAGAGTAGGAGTTGGTAATTAGTTTTGATAAGCAATGGTAGTTAGTTAAATACAAACCAAAATTCATTAAACCATACATACCTCTTGCCCTTGGCTACTTTCCACCAATCCATATTTTCTCCCAATTTCTCCCGAATTAAGTATAACCATAGAGGTAAGTGCCCCCAGATCAAAATTGGTGGTGGTAGGTGTTAACAAATAACTAAACCTCTTACATTCATAAATACTTATGCTTTCAACAGCTTGAAAGCCACGGATAGGGAGACCAGAGTTATTTTCACCACCTTTTATTCTCCACACCTCTCTTAGATTCTCTAATTGATATATTCCAATGCTTCTCAAGCTGCTGCCTTCTCCAGTCTCATCAACATAATCCAAGTCAATGTTGAATAATGCTTCAATGGAACCACAATCCCTGACTTCAAGTTGTTCAAGATGACGTAACAATGGGATGGGATTGCAAGGAAATATACTCACAAGATTCTCACAATGGCGCACTTCAATCTTTCTCAACTTAACTTCCTCACTCGTACTAAAGTCACGAGGCCATATCTCCTTCAAATTCTTTATACCCCAAATGCACAGATGCTCCAGCTTAGGAATCAAAACCTGAAAAATAATGAAGTTCTGTTTATAGCCCCTTACAAACTATACATCATACAGTCAACTTTCAAATAATTTTTCATATATTTCAGTATTTCACTGATTATTAAACATCAAACACAATGTGAATGTAACATTTTTTTGAAACATTTAATCATAAAGACTGGTTAAACAGTATTAACATAAAACATCTTTACCTCTTCGTTTGACAAGAAAGATATTGCCAGTTTATTCTTGGAATAAATGCTTGTGATATTTGGAATGCCTCCAATTTCTAAATCCACAAGTTGTGGTAGCGCAATTACGTTGACATTCTGGCCCAAACTCAATAGCTCCCGTAGCCCACTCAACAATAGAAGCTTCAACTTGGGAAATGTAATTGTCTCTTCGCCTCTATCCTCGTTATGTATGAGTTCTTTCATAACAGGGCAATCACAAACCTTGAGATATTCAAGATTTGACAGAGTTTTTGCAACACTGAGTGTGAAAAGGTATTTCAAATCTGCACACTTCAAAACAACAAGGATTTTTAAATCACGGAACGAAGATGACTGAGGACGAAGTGTAATTGTCTCTTCTCTTCTATCCTCGTTATGTATTAGTTCTTTCATAACAGGGCAATAAGAAACCTTAAGATGCTCAAGATTTGATAGAGCTTTTGCAACACTGAGTGTGAAAAGATATTTCAACTCTGCACACTTTGAAACAACAAGGATTCTTAAATCTGGGAATGAAGAGGACTCAGGATGAAGTGAGGGCTTCACCACAACAATTTCAAGATCATTCATATCATCCACACTTAAACAAAGTACCACCGTTTTCTCAACCAACTCGTTAATTCTAGGTCCCGATACTTCACCTTTCTTCATTACCAACTTTAGTGTGTTTTCGAATGAATGTTTGCTCTCCATTAAATATTCTCCTTTTAAAGAGCGTCCCACTGAGATCTTGAATCGTTCAAGATTCTTAAATGATAGATTCTTCCATTGAGCATTGTTTTCAAAGAACTCAAATTCCAATGCAGAAAGGTTTTTCCAACGTTCTGCCACTTCATTGCAGTTATCACCTGTAAAGCTAATGGTCTCTTCATGATAGCTTAAAGAGCATGCATAAAGCTCTTCAAGTCTGACTAAATTTTTAAAGACACCATTATCCATACGAAGACCGCCACAACCTGTCACATCCAGTACCCTTAACTTCTTCAAATTTCCTATTGTAGAAGGTAGAGATTTAATTCTAGATCTAGAAAAGTTAAGCACTTCCAGATTCAACAAGTTTCCAATAGAAGAGAAATCAAACGCCAATGAGCAATGTTGTAGACAAAGCACTCGAAGGTTGGTGCAGCATTCAAGTGATGAGGAAAGCAATGGATGCTCCATATAATCATATGATATAACCTGAAGGTTTCCCATTTGTTCATAAAAATTACAAGGAAACCTCAGCGACTTATCTCCATGCATAAGTTTTAAAATTGAGACATTTGGAAAGTTGAGGTCACTAGGAAATGCAATCATGCCCTTGCATGTTAATGAGATTCTTTTGCAGGAGGTCCTGATCACATCATTTTCAGTTTCAGGCCACCCAGGCTTACTACTACCATGGTTGACAATCGAAGCATGCTCCACTTTACAAAACATATCCAAAATAAAAGCACGCACCAGATCGTGCAACTTGACGCACCCAACAACATCACTTTCAATCAACAAATTGGTATGCACGAGCCGCTCAATGCAGGCGTTCAACTGGTATCTTGCTTCTCTTACAGAATCCACTCCCTTGAATAATTTTAAGCCCCATCCATACTTCAGTAAGTCTTCAGTAGGAATATCAAAGTCCTCCGGAAACAAACCACAGAGCAAAAAAGTATCTCCAGTCACCTCGTCTTGGAGATTGTCATAGCTGGTTTGAAAAACAGTAGGCGCGACTGTGTTAATGTCATGGTGTTGTAAACGAGAAAGTGCATTCTTCCAAGTATCCTTGCTTTTACTTCTAAGAGTGCAGGCCATGGTTTTTATTGCAATGGGTAAACCACAACACTTCCTTACAATTTCTTCTCCAATCTTATGGAGCTCAGGATCGACATCATCAGAAGGTTCCCAAAGTTGGCAGAATAAGCTTTGTGCTTCAGCTTCCTCTAGGACACTCACCTTGATAACTGAATCAGTTTTAACTCCCATCTCAGTGCAAACAGCTTGGTCCCTTGATGTAATCAAGACCTTGAAGTCGACACCTTGATTTGGGAAACGACTTAAACCAATATCTTCCATATCAACTGGATGCCATACATCATCCAGGATTACCAGGAACCTCTTTCTTCCTCCATCTGAATTGTCAGAAAACCATGCGCGTAGCTTATCAGTTCTTGCTGCCTTAGTGGTTTCTGTTAGAATTATACCAAGGTACTCTGCAACGGCTTGCTGAATAGAAATGGGGTCCGTCTTCTCCCCTATAACCGCCTCCACATAATGATTAAACATTTTCTTTTCAACCACAAACTCTTTCAACTTCTTCATCATTGTCGTCTTTCCCACTCCACCCATCCCACATAAGGCTACCATGTGGGAGCTGTTGTTGGGTCCGAGTGATTCCAGTGCTTCCCTAAAAGTATGCTCTCTTGATTGGAAGTCATTTCGATCACTTGATGATGTAGATGTGCATGCAATGGTGGAATCAATTCTTCCCACAGGAATTTGCAATTCAGTCCCCTGGATCTCAGGGCATCATCCCAGAACACCCTCGATCTCCTTAAATATCTTGAAGGCTTTCCTTCCAAGCTTGTGTCTACTCTTGAGATCGAGACAACTGAGGACTTCACTTGGAAATTCTTCCACCTTTTTATTCATCTGTTCTGCTTCTATCAACCAAGGGTCGACTTGGGCAGGAACCTCAAGACGTCTTTCTCTGTTTTGCTTCTTCTGGGATTCCATGCCAACTCTTGCAGCATCCAGATCCGCCTTTCTGGTGCGCATATCCCCAACATACTTTTTGTAGGAAATTAGGTAATCCAGTTGTTTTTTAACTGGAACAATGAGGACCTGAACAACTCCTCTCACTATTTCACTAACAATCTCCATTGCTGGCAATTCTCAGTTGTGTTAGCAACGGGAATTCGATGGAAATCTATAATCGAGCAATTACATGTATCCTAGACTGATAATTTTATTTTTTAACCGGTAGAAAGTGTGGATCTCATAATCTACAGCTAAAGCTTTGATAACTTTATACAAAATGATATTAATAGAATCAACAAAATGGCTTTTTAGTATGGTCAACTTTTTAGGGATTATTTTTTCTGTTTTAAAAAGAATAATCAAAAACATATATGAAGTTTGAATAATTAGAAGAAGATGAATATTAAAATATTTAATTGTTATTATATAAATGTAATGATAAACAAAAATAAAAATATGATGTTGTGATAAGTTCAGTCCACAAGGACAACCAAATTGGTGAAATTTGCACTTAACATCTCTCTCATCATCTAGGTTAAAATGAAAACGACCCATGTTAATGACCATCTCCATGTTTAAGTCTACCAGCAATGTTATCCAGATACTATATTTTCATAGTTTTAGTTGGGCAGATTTTGCAAAGTAATGTCCTAACTCCTGACAAATAAAAAATGAAACTATAATGCTATAATGGATGCATTTTTCAGAGTAAAATGCAATATTATGAAATTTTCTTAAAGTACAATGCATTAATATGGAAATTGAAAATTGAAAACTGAAAATACAACTTTGTAATATAGAAAAATAAAAGTAAGATGCATGTTATATTACATACATGAATGATACTGTGTTGCTATTTATTGCATTCAACACTTCTTACGTATATCAACCAACATTAAAGAACTTTACATCAATTGTCATGTAGAAATTGACATGGACTCTTTTCATGCACATTCTACTCAACACCAGATATTGTTTCATAGCTTACCAGGTGTTCACTTTCAGACCTAACAATATTAGATATTTAGATGAGCTCAGCTCACCACTAAAATTCCTAACCATCAACATACATATGCCGTGGCGAATCCACAGAAAAAAGTATAACAGGGTCCATAATATACTCAACATAAATATAAAATAAAATATAAAATGTTGATATGTTTTCTTCAAAAATCTTTCCATTTTGTAGTTAGTTAAATAATCAAGTTATTAACAAGTAACAATCAAACTAACAATCACGGTTAATATAAAATCTAAACTAGCAATTAAAATTAACCAATTAACAATTTAAAACTAATAAATAACAATTAAATAGAAAAATAATCTTTCGTGTTTGCCTCTGCGTTTCCATATAATTAAAAAAAAAAAACCAAATACTTAACTCTTAAAACTAATAAAATAACAATAGATAGAAATAACCATGAAAAATATCAGATATTGATAATTAAAACTAACAAATATTAACAATTAATAATAAGAATTACCTCAAGGGTTTTTAACTCGGTCCAGGGAAACCTGATAGTAAGAGACAGAAGATAAGAGAAAGATGTGTGGCTATAGACTATATATATAGACTAACAACTGAGAATTATTCTTTAAAATTTCAAAACAGGAAATCTAAATGGGACAGCTGTATCTGGTAAAGGTTTAAATGCTGGGATATTTATGAAAAAAGTTGACTGCAAATATGTTCCTTGTGGTTTATAATATTGTCTAAAATTTCAAAACAGGAAATCCAAATGGGATAGCTGTAGTGTAGTAAAGTCTTGAATATTGGGATATTTATGAAAAGAGCAAACTGCAAAATGGTCCTGTGGTTTATAATTTTTAGTAGGAAAAGTAAAAAAAGTTTCCAACTTGGATTTGTTGTGGTTTAATCTCTATCAAACTTAAAATGACTATTATATCCCTTTAATTTATTTAATAATTTTTTTTTAAAACTTAATTTTAATATTTTACATTTAGAAAATATAGCAAAAGATCCCACACCCCACACCACCTCTTTTACTCTTAATAGGGAGTGAGGATATAACTGAACCGAAAACCGACCTATCGTGTGAGGCTTTTGACATGGACAGTCTCTTTTTTGCTACTTGATAAATACTATTCATGTGCAAACAACCCAAAGACACAAAATTATTAGATTACCCTTATCTAGCAGAATTAAAAGCTAAAAATACCCAAACTGCCCTTCCACTACCAAAGATGCTCTTTATTTGCTGATATTCCCTTCCAATCATGCGAGACTGAGATGGATGTGTAGCAATACCTCATCCCAAAAGATTCACCACTCTTTTGTGCCTCTTGCAATTTGCTTTTCGTTGTACAACTTCAATCATGTTCTCAAATCACCTATATGTACAGCTGGTCACTATGAGTGTCTCATCAATGTCAAATGATTTCAATGAAAACTGAAGTTCCTTTCCAGTTTCCACCAAGTGGGACACCATTCTTATCTGTGATTGGAAATCTGATTCCACACATTCTTGCCAGTTTCAACTCAACCCCACCTTCCACATTGGCTTTCCCAAAAGGAAGCTAGCTTAGCGTTGACTTCTTTGGTGCTCCAACCAGCAATAGCTTCACTGACAACTCATACATTTTCTCAATAATCTGTTTCACCACTCTATCTTCTTGCTATAAACTCCATTGTTTTCGGTTTCCATCTTTGCAATCAATCCCCCAGTCTTGTTCACACCACCTCCCTTACAAATTACAATGGGTTTCCAAAATCAAATTCAAGGATTTTACACCAGGCAAAATACCCTTTTCTTTACAAAAACCTCCAGCGTATGAAGGAACTCATATTCGTCAATTTGGTTATCTAGCATCACAAAAAGTATCCAAATTAAGAGATTTTTCAGTAGGGGTGCAGTTCTGCTGTTGAATCATTTTGTCATACAGTTGGAGTTTATTGTCACCCATTCCCCTTTCGTCTTGGATTTTATATTTGCCAGCTTTATTGCCTGAAGGAGGCTAAATTAATGATGGCTTAAGCACAATGGAGAATACCTGATGTGCAAGAACTCGTGTTTCCTGATCTTGATATGGTATTGCTACGATCAATTGGTGAAAGAGAGCATTTGAGAACACCTTTTTGTAATAAGTTATGTTTGGAATGGAAATGAAAATTTAGGAAATCCGACAATAAGCATATTGTAGCACAGTAGCAGCAGCTGAAATATTCTGTAGCACTGCTGCTATCAGACGAAGTAAAAATCTCACATTTCCATCTTTATATGAGAGCTTTGAGATACAATTTTCCAACGCCAACTGAAGCTCCATATAACAGCTAATAGGACCCACTTTAGGACATGGTTCGGATAAATTTTTGCAAGCAATGGCATAAATGTTTACAGAAGTTCGAAAATCAAACATCCTTGGAGGGTTGGTTATTGCTGGTGCCGACCCCTTACGAGCTTCAAAAGAAGATCCACTGCCTTTAATGGTTTGCTGTTTTAAGGAACTGCGGAATCGAAAAGGGATATTGTACACACGAAGTGTTTCTTTTTCAAACAATTACTGAAATCAGAGCGGCATGCGGGCTCCAGTGTTAGGATTTTGTTGTTATCTATCGTATTTTCCCTGATTCTTTCATTGTTGTTGAGGACAAGGTTGTCTGTGCGCCGATCGGCAGAAGCAGACGTAAACGGTGGTGGACTCGTCACCAATGGTGGGGCAATTGTGTTATAGTTGATTTAAGAAAAAAATTGCAGAAATGGTTGCTGTGGTTTATAAAAACGCGCCAGTCCAATTTTTTAGATAACGGGTAGGGGATTAACGTGGTGCGGTTCGGTGCGGTTATTGGTCAAAACCTCATCACTAACCGTAAATGCGATTAATCCATTTTCAAAACTGTTTGATGCGGTTATTGTAGCAGACTTCAAGGACGAAGTCTGATTCAAGTGGGGGTGAATTGTAACACCCATTCCTCGAGGTATTCCTTAATTGTTTTGAGTTAATAATTGTTTTGGACTATCACTTGGACAATGGATTCATTTGGAGTGGACTTAGGAAGTGGGCCAAGAAGATGGGCCGCCCATAAGTCGTACGCTGGGCATAACCTGTCGTATGCGGGGCGTAATGGCCATTGGATTCGAGGGACGCGGGTACGTACGACCGGCGTACCAAGAGGTACGCCCAGCGTACGCGGGCAGATGCTAAACCCTAATTTTAGGGTTAAGGACCTATAAATACATCATTATAGCCTCCCATTTTGGCCTCCTCACCTGTCCATCACCCTCAGAGAAACCCTAACTCGTTTATACTCTTCCTTGTGTGTGTGTGTGTTTGAAATTTTGAGCTTATTTTTGGCAAAGAAGGACTTGGAAGAAGAAAGGAAAGGTTGGAGAAGAAGCCCTTGAGTACCTTGAGCTCAAGGATCTGGAACAAGCTCACCATTTGGCACCAAGAGGAGGTATAAAGTTCCTACCTTTCCTCCTCAAAGTCTAGATCTAGGGTTTTAAAGATTTGGAACTTTTAGGTCCAAAGATTTGATCTTGACCTTGGAAATTCGATTTTGAGCTTAGGGTTGCCACCCTTGAAGCTCAATGAGTTCCTTTAGTCATAAAGTTACAAGCTTTGAGGCTTTTATGAAGCCATGCAAGAGACCTAACCATTTTTATGGAAGTTCATTGTTATTCTTAGTGTTGGGCTCATTTGGTGGGTTGCAATCCACCAAGTGATCAACTTTAAAGGTTAGGACGAAGCATGGGACTCAGATCTGTAGTTTGGACGTAGGGTCTTAAGGGATTAAGTCGTTTTGGAGAAAAGTGCTTAACAGGAGAGTATGCTTGGCGTACACGCTGCTACGCGCAGCGTACAAGCCTTTTCAGCAGTACGCGCAGCATACATAGAGGTACGCCCAGCGTATGCTCAAAAAGTGGACTTTTGTTATTGGGCCTTGGTTTGGGCCAAGTCCTGGATATAGTAGTAATGGGCTGTGATGGGCCTTTAGGAGTCAGTTAAGGGCCTCAGGATTAGTGGGCTTGGTAGGAAAGCCCATTTGAAGAGTTGGGCCCAATTTAGAAAATTGTGCCATTTGAGGACTTAATGGGCCTTAGTGAGGACTAGAAATGATTGGGCCTAAGTCATGACCCAAAATAGATCAGAGCGGTAAAATA